TATAAAAAGAAGTTAGTCAAAAAATAAAAACACTATAAAAAGAAGAAAAAGAAGATATAGAAAAAGCCAACATAGCTAATAAAATTATAGTAGACCCTACCATGTTAGGGCACATGCAAATTTCTTGGCTCTCTCGTAAATCTTAGTCCATGTCGTTTTGTCCCCTTTTTTCTTCTTCCATGTTACGTACCTATCAAACATACAATTCATTAATTGCTTTTAATTTTTCCTTCTTTTATAAAAAATAAATTCTTTTATTTTCATGTATATACATGAACTTGAAAGATTTGCAACTTTAAGTAATATTTATTTTCTTACAAAAAAAAATCAAACTTTTGTCAGTTCATAGAAGGAATATATGCTCTCTTGGCCGGTTTGGATATTCTATGTACCACCTTCCTATGGGTAACTATATCCAAATTAAAAAAGACATGAAGATAACTCAAAAAATATAATTAAAATTTTGATTCCTTAACAAAATATGAAATGAACCTTCTATGATATAAAGCTACTATTGGCCTTTGTGTAAGTTGGATATGAACAATTTCTGAGACATGAACAATAGGGATTTTTCGGAAAAGATAAGAATTCTGACACATACTCCCTGTGTATTATAATAAATATTTCATTTATTTATTTTTTATATTTTAGATAAATATTTTTTTAACATAACTTTCATGTTTTTCCACTACTCAATATATATTAAATAAAAATATTTTAATAAATAATATTAATTTTGTTATTAAAATCATTTTTTTTAAATTGCATAAAAATTAAATAAAATACTTATTATAAAATGGAGAGAGAATATTTATTATAATCATGACATTTTATAATACATTAATTTTTTTATTACACAGAAAAAGAGAGAAAATTAAATTATTTAAAAAAAATTCTACAGCACCCACTTCTATGAGATGTCTAATCTTTGGGGAGGGGAAATCTGGACTATGAGGTTCTCGTTTTATAGGAAACATTAAAGCTTGTCATGCAATCTGCTAGGTTGCCATAGTAGAGAGTGTGTGAGGTATTCTAAATTGATCTTTCTCATTTAACACGTGTATGTAATATTAGATGTAATTTACGAGAGGTGAAATAGAATTTTCGGATTTTTCTCGTTTTAATGATAATCTTTTATAATGTAATTTTGTCGTAAGCGATTTAGTGTTTATGTAACTTATTCAAAAATAAAAATACAGAAAATTAGAGTGGAATACAAATAACACACAAGAATTATCCTGATATTTAAAAATTAGTCCAGTTTTTGTTTAGAGGATTTTTTTCCTATGTTTAGAATTATTCTAGTCTAACCGTTCAATTTAGTTGTGGTAAAGTTGAGAAAACTAAACTGCATGTTCAGTCACTGTTTGAAATTTTGTAGCATAATTGTTTGACATACTGTTAGTATTTTGTGTTAGTTCTCTATTTTAGAATTGATATTAATTTTAGTAAAATAAATATGGTAGTATAGTGGTAAAATCAATGAAGTCGCTATCGAGTATTTATTTATCCAACAAAATGGAAAGGAAAATCATCGAAGAAAAACTTAAAGGGGGAAATCAAGGTCTTGCGATCGAGAGATTGGGTAAGGGAGTCGAGTACGCGAGGGGAAGGTATTAGCACCCCACACGTCCATAGTACTCTACGGGATCCACTCTAGTTATTCTAATCAAAGAGTGTGTTCAATCTAATGCTTAAGAGTTATAAACTAAGAGGGAATGCATGCAAAGAAAACACGGGGAAAAGAAGGAAATATTTACAAATTTTCGCTCGGCTGAGCCCCGTGACCAGATGTCTACGTATCCCCTTTAAGGAATCGGAGCGTCGTAGTTCGGCTCATATATTTTGTTTGTTTGTATTTTTTAAATGAACGATGTTGCATTCGATCATTCCACCGCTGCTCGACCTTTGGAGACTTATGACCTGTAGTGGAAAGGAGCTAACATGCTCTTAGAAGAGAAAAGCCGAATGGCGAAAATAAATGAATTAGTTGGTATTTGTTTTTTACCATGAAATTTTTTTTTGTATGCTTAGCATTTTTTATACATTTGCCAAGAAAAAGAAGCTTTAGTTTTAAATGCAATTATGCAAAGATGGGAAGAAAATATCTCAGGGAGACTAACATATCTCTAACCTAATATTATCATACAATAGGAGATCCTATCTAAATTAGCATGCCGAAGAAATTCTAACAAACTATCCTATAGGGAACATACAATGAGAGCGAAGTCGTGATCTCAATTTCTAAATTGAGTGACTCATCGATCAATAAGAAATAAAGGAAAGCGATAAAGTCCCATAGAGAGCATGCACTGAGAGCGAAATCGTGATCTCAATTTCTAAATTGAGTGACTCATCGATCAATAAGAAAGGAAACAAACACAAGCACAACACATATAATAAATGAAGTGTGGAATGCCTGCTACAGGTCTTTAAACAGCGACTTCGAGCGCACGCTCTTTATTTCCTACTTCTCATGATATCTAGAAAAGCAATAAATGCGAAAATATAGTTTGGAAGCAGTATAATACCAAACGAACAATAATGTCCGCAAAAAGCGCAACAAAAGCAAAGAAACCAGGAATACTTCGCGCAAGCTGACATCAATAAACAAATAGTTAGAGATCGAATGTTCGGAAAAGGTGTCGAAGCTTCATCGATGTGAAAATAAATCACAATTGGAATCCAAACACATCCGCATATCAGACAATGGACCTGCACAAGACTCAACTCAACATGCAAAAGTGAATCACAAGTCTCAAGTAATCAAAAAAATTAGGAGTTAATTTCCTAAAAATCAAATGAGAAATCTAACAAATTTTATTGATCTTTGTAGTTTATTACCCTAAAAAATAAGAGGCAATCCTAAAATTTATATTTTTTATATGTATTTTGCTACTACTTTTATTATAAAATGAATTTAAACTAAAACTTAAATAAAATCTAGAAAACATAGGAAATATAATTGGTCAGGGGGTGTTAAATGGGATGGAGGTGTAAAGACATGAGGCCTGCTGAATGAAGCCCAGGCAGTTCAGTTTTTTTGGCAAGGTAGAAACTTTCAAAAAATGGTGATGGGCTTAGGGGGATCTCGGTTCAACCCACTCCAACATTTATTCCCTTTCAGCATTATTAATTATACAACACCATCATTAAGCTAAAGAAAAAGAAATAAAAAAAATTGAATGAGACAATAGTATGATGACACGATGCTACTGTGAACTGAGTTAGGGTTGTGAATTGGGACTTTTCATCCACCCTTTCCATCTTGAACGCGAATAATGCAGTTTCTTCTCCCTTACCGCCGTCTCTGATCGATTACCTCGCCATCCTTCTCCGGTTCTGATCAAGACCCCACCGATTTTCAATCATTTTCCACCGTCTCACTCTTCTCCGTCATCTTCGTAGTCTCGCTACATCATCTTCTTTGTTCTGATTCACTTCATTCGTCTTTGCCGATGCGATTCAGTCTCAAACATATCAGCATCAGCCTCGCGACATATTCGTTGACGTCTAAAGATTCAAGGTTTCAAAGTTGATAAAATCTGAAACAGGAATGAACAACAACAAATCTATACGCTCATAGAAGTGGAAACGATAAAGTATTTTGAGCCTTACCTACCAGAGAACTTAGGTGGCTCTTCGACGGTGTCGAAGGTGAAAAATCCAGAAAAAGCTCTATAAGAGGAAAATCAGGTACGCTCGTGAGTTTTATTTCTCTTCTTCGAGTTTTGTTTTCTTCTCTATTTCTTGACTGTGTTATTGATGGAGATGTTGTTATCATTGTTGCAGATTGATGAAGTCACATTGTTGTTGCTCCTCACTAATGCGTTGAGTCGTTGAGAAGTGCATAATGAAGAAGATTGTATAGTGGAGGATAAAGAGAGTCAAGGTTGAAGATGTTGTGTGTTGTGAAGTTATGCGTAGAGAAAAACAAAACAATGATGATGATTGAAGATTCCAGATGAAGAAGAAGGAATGAAAAGTTGAAGATGAAGATGGATCAGAGTTTTCGACAGTGGTTCTTCTGCAGAATGAAGGATAAAGGTGAGAGAGAGAATCAAGGCTTTTTGATGAAAGGGGAGAATGGAAGGTTCCAGATGAAAAGAGAGAGTGAACGTTTTAAAATGAAAAGAGAGAGTGAACGTTTAAGATGAAAAGAGAGATTCCTTCCGAAAAATCTCCCAGAGATTCAGAGGTGAATCCCCTGTTAAATTCTTTCTCTTTTCTGTTATGCATCAATCTCCTCCTCTTTTCCTGTTGAATTCTGTTATTATTTCAAAAAGTTTGTTAGAGATTCAGTTAGGCAGTTCCAAGTCAGTTTTGACAGTTAGTTGTAACCTCTAACTGAAATGGTTGTAGAATTTTCCTCATCTTTTTCCGCGCTGACTTGGGCAAACCACTCACCTTCATTCCTTTCCAGACTCGTACTCCCTCTCATTCTGTATCCTTATTTTCTGAATTTTCATGTGCTCTGAATTTGTTGTTTTTGCAGATGATAAATGAACGGTAATGATGATGACGATGCATAATATGTGGTGATGATGTGCGTGAGGTTAGAATTGTGGATTCAAAATGAGGATCTAAGCTGGTTAAATTTTTTTTGATGCGGTTTAACCTTCCTACGGTTCAGAGAATGGTGATAGAGGATGAAGATGGAGGTGAGAAAACCAGCCTCGAAGAGAATCTCTCTCAAGTAAAACTTTTCTTATTCTTCTTTGTAATGAATCCCCTTCAGAATTCTGTTATGAATCTGTTATCTCGCCCTGGAGATTCTGTTACAGATTCTATTATCCACTTTTGTTAGCTGACAATTCTGTTATGACAATTATTCCTTCAATTGAAAAATCAGTCGAACCTGTTATGGTTATTTCTGATTTATTTTTAGTTTCACTCTCCCTGTTTTTTTAAATGCAGCCCATCTATATGTCCACTTGTTGGACTGTAAGTCATTCAAACAACAGGCACACCAATGTCAAGGGCGGAAATATTGCTTCCAGTTAATGCATCAAATTCGACCTACACTTCCGTGAGATAGAATGTGCCTGGATATAAAAGGCTACTATCCTTGCTGATACATAATCTTTGCCACCATAACTATGCTCCATTAGCTTCAGTGTTTCAATAAACTTCTCTGGAGGAAACTCTTGTCTTGACTTCAACTTTTCAGCAACATCCATCACTCGGGAAAGGTTTGACAAGCTAAATGGATGTTTAGCTTCGCATAATTGCAAGGAAAACATTGTGGAAATTAAGCCACTTCCGTATGAGAATAATATCACCCTCTCACCTTCCAATGGGCTATTTTTGTCGTGAATAAGGGATACAAATGTTGCATAGAGGGACGTTATGTGCATGTTGCCAACTTGCTTTGGGATCAAAGTAGTTGGTTGTACCTTCTCATCGAATTGAGGTTTTGCAACTTGTTGGGATGCCTTTTCATGATCCCGGTCTTGGTAGATTTATTAACTTGTATTGGATTTTGAAACTTGTAGCATGGCATTATATCAGCATTTCATTTAACACATAAGTGTAATATCGTGTGTATAAATACAATACTGCATTGAGTAAACCACTTGCCTTCAATTGCAAGAGCTAGATGTTATCAACCAAGAATATTGTAATGCCTTTTTTTTTACAAGTTATAAAATGCAACTATCTGACAACCTCTCTATTAACAAAAAATTCTTGAGTAGTCTGAGAACAGAACATAACTTCTGAAGAATAACATTCACAATACTAGAGAACTTGTTTGTTGAAGTACTAAAATTGATAGCATCATCTTCCTCATCAACTTCCAGTGTGGTGTTTTTACTAGGTCCGTATAACACACAGTATGATGTTTGAATTAAGTCTTGAACAAATCCTCCATCTTTAAAATATAAATCTATTTAACAAATTACGCCAGAATATTCACTTGAAAGGGATTTGAGTAGAATCGAAATGAATGAGAAATGTCTTAAGTTTCATGTAAATCTCCTTTAAAGAAATTCTCATAAAACGGGCTTGAATTCGCATTCACTTTGAATGATATTTGAATCACCAACTTTGAATTCCATACAAACCATTATACGGATTTTCTTGAATCAATCTGGGCTTAGAGGAATTTCTTGAACGAATCTTCAAATCACCTCCAACGAAACCTCAATCCAAATCTTCTATTTAATCAAAGCCCGAGAAGCAAACCTACTTTGATTCACAGTTTGAGCACCAAGAATTATCTTGATGAAATCTTCAATCAATCCTTAACCATGTAACAAATAGAATCACAAGAAAAAGTCCTTGACTAAATCCTCTAAACTTATTGAGAGGAATGTCTTGAGATATAACGATTAGGATAAACCCTAACTGATGGTGATGAACTTGGAACAAGGGAAGAGTAATGCTCAATGTAGCCTTGAAGTGAGACATTAATTCAATAAATCTCCATAGAAGAATCGCTACCAAGCTCAAATAAAATGAAGAGAAATCTTGATTCTATGACTGAGTTAAACCCTAATGCCTTTGTTCCTTGAAGAAAATCTGCTGAAGAGAACCTTATATCTCGAGGAACCCTGCTAGAGGAGACGTCTATGTTACTTGAGATCCAAAACCCTAATCTCGTACCAAGAATAATGAGAGCACCATTTGAATCAATTTTGAGTAAGATGACAACCTCAATTCATAGAGAGAAATACTAATTCTAAAGCTCTTTGATCCTGTAAACATGGGGCCAGCGCTATGTGTGAGATGTAAAGAGTATGATGAGGGATCTTAGGGGCAAAAGTTGGGGGTATAACAGGTAGCAAGGTATTAAATAGAATGAGTTACTAACACGAAGTCTTATTTTATGAAGAAATATATTGAGTTGAGATGTTTATCAACTGAAGTAATATGTCAGACAAGACGTCCTATGTAGAGTCATTTAACATCGCGATTGTGTTGGGTTGGGAAGTTGAATTGGTTTAAGATTTAACAAATGAAAAATATTATGGGAATATTATGCTATCATATGTGGCGCTGATTTTAAGGTCTAGAAGATTCAAGTTGAATTCAAAAATAATATTGACTTTCTAATTATGGAGACACTACTACAAAACGCGTAAACAACAAGGTCATGTTCACCAGGGTTCTTACCTACACCATGGTGACATCTCTAAACTAAGGCGCTCACATATTATTTTTGTTTTTTGATTTAAAATTAATTGTATATAACAACGGTTGATGAATCAACCGTGGTGAAATTGTCAAGCTTTAATGGATTCAAACCTCGGCGCTATCATATATATTATTCCATTAATATTAAAGTGCGCCTTTTCTTTCTTATTAACTTTTAAATAAAAAACTTAAAAGGTTATGACTACGGTTGGTTCGTTACACCGTTGTGATATAATTTAATTTATTTTTTATTTAAAAATTCTAATTGTAAATTAAACTCTGGCTCTTCTTTATGAAAATTCACTATGAAAGTAATATATCATAATGGTTTATGGTTTTGACCGTGGTGATATCTTTATAATATTATACACTTCTAGTTAGCTTATCTCTTAAGTATCATTTTTTCCATTGAAAAATGAACTAGACGAAACAATACACGATTTCAACCATAAACCATAACGTTCAATACTGTAAAATAATACAGGATTTCAACCAAAACACCATCGTTCACCCTAGCTTGTCTCTTCAATATCCATTCTTCACTGTGTATTTGTCATTTTCGTCATCATCGTCAAGGCTAACAAGACCATCACGATCGTGACGTCGAGAAGGAAGAGTACACCAACCAAGTTGTAACCATCGAAAAGGAAGATAAAAACAACATTATCATTGCCATAAGGAAGGAAGACAACACCAACACCAACATCATTTATTTAGTCATCACATTTAGGGTACATAAATATTTTCCCCGTGCATCTACAATAAACTTCATTTTCTATTGTTGTGGTTGTTGTTGTTTATATTGTGGTTGTTGTTTATGTTCTTTTTGTTCATGTTGTTGTTGTTTTTGAACGTAGATGTAGACCTTGTCGAGTTCTTCATCAGATACTAGAGAAGAACATCAAACAAATGAGTGTTATGTGAATGAAACTCAAACAAATGATACTCAATCAAAAAGATCCCAAAGAGGTGTCACAATGATACCCCAATTCACATCAGTGCGCAACTGCTCAGGTGAAAAAACTCTGATTGAATTCGATTCGTTCTACAGAGTAGTTGATTGTGAATATTACTCTACTTTTAAGAGTTATATTGCATTCCTTGGAAAAAGCAAAGTAAGTATATTGATATATGATTGGAAACAAGTGGATGAGAAAGTCAAAGAAAGCATATGGACAGACGTTAAGGTATTACATACTATAATTTTCATATATTAGATATCACTACCTATAATTTCTAATACATTGATTTAAATGTAGTTGTATTTTTAGTTTACTGATGACTCAAAGTTTCAAAAAAAGTAGATCTCTTATGTCGGTACTCGTTAAAGGGGGTTTAAGTCACAACTCACGACTGACTACATTAGGAAGCCTAAAAGTGATCTTAATCTTCCATGGAAAAGATATAGTTTTATTTAACAGATAATTTTATGATAATGAGTTATAAATACTAATTATATATATTATTCACTATGTTAATAACCTCTTTAAATCGAAGTAGGAATACGAAACAAGGCAAAGAATATGTACCCCAATACATTGTCTTAAGGGGGTTACAGGAAACTTCAGAAAAGAATAATGCTTAAAAAACAACTATAAATAGGAGATGATTGCATCCCATCCCCACCGTCAAGACATGAGAAATGGAAGAGGGCTCGATTAAGACCCAACAGAGAGTACACCTTTGAGGCAACAAGAGTAGTTGACCAGAAAATTGTAAGTATGATTTGTTTTTATTATGTTATTTGTTATTTAAATATGTTGGTAACAATATATGTAAGTTGCTCATGTTGTGTAGGATAAGTTGGTTGAGGCGACTCGTGAAGGCGCATTTGTTCCAGAAGCACAACATGACATATTAGTAGAAGCAATCAGAAGAGATGAGCATGGAGGGCGTGTCTGTGGTGTTGGCTTGAGGTTATTCTTTGGGTCTTAAAAAAATACAGAAAGCTCAGAATTAAATGAACAAAAACAAAAGATTAAGAATATTGAGAAGTAATTAGAAGAACAAAGGAGGTTATTTGAAGAGGAGAAGGGAAAAAGGAGAAAGATGTGAAAATGTTTCAAGACTTATATTCGGTATGTGCTTTACTTGATATTTTAATGTTTTATCGGAAATGTATGATATATATTGTGCTTATTCTTATTCTAACTGAATATTATGATGTAGAGATTAAGTGAAAACCTCGAACAACATACAAATAAAGATAAAAGTTATGTTGATGGTGACAATGATCATGGTTATTGTACCCCAAAGTTTTCCATTTCATTTCCTCAAGACATTCTCCTAGGGTTCTCAAATGCTCAAGGTTGCTCAAGAATTGATCAGACAAATTCTCCTCCTAAGCAATGGACTTACAACTAGGGTTTCAATTTTCTCAAAGAAGTTTGGGTTTCTAAGGCCTCAAGTGGATGTCATGGTTTCTTATATGTCCCTAATGAGCTTAATGCCAAGTTTCATGCCTTGCATCACAAGTTTGCTCAGTCAATTGCTCAGGTGACTAAAAATCAACTATATTAGACAAAAAGTCGATTCTGGTCAACATACACTCAAACCTCAAGATTTTTGGTCAACATCAAGTTTTTGAGTTGGTATTCATCATTTGATTAAGGGTTGATCATAATCCATCAAGAAAACTTCCAAATCATCAAAAGTCAAAAGTTGCCAAAATTAGGGTTTTCTTAAGGGAAAGTCAACTAAACTTTGACCAAACATAACTTTCACATGCTTCATCATATTTTCCTAACCCAAAGCTCATTTTGAAGGAAATTCAATTCCCTACATCTTTGGCTCTCTAAGATCAAGTCCAAAAATGCTTCATTTGAGAGATATGGGCCAATACATTATAGGTCATTTCAAAAGTCAACAAAAAGACACTTTTTATCAAGGCAACTTATATCAAGATAAAATATTCAAATGAAAAAATGATAAAATTAGGGATTGTAGATGACATCTTGAGCTTTCCAAAAAGTTCAAGATTATCTTCAAATGATAAAAATTGAGAAAATTCCGACTAATGCAAGTTAGGAAATTTTGAGCAAATGCATGAAACCAAAAGTGACCAAACTTAGACTTTTGGGCTAATAGGCTATTGTTTCAAAGTCCAAACGTGTTTTGTAGCCTATAATGGACCTCAAATCTTACTCATGCACCCCTTGACCTTTTATTCTATTTTGATTTTTTATTCATTATTAATTCAAAATAAATAAGATAAAAACAA